ACCTTTTATTAGCTTATTTATAAATCTTATTTAAAATAATTTCTTATTCAAATAAAAGCCTATAAAAGTACTGATACAAACGAAGTCAAATATTGGTCGACGTTTCTGAAATCTTATTTAGTTTCTTTGGTTGGTACGGATTCTGAAAATAGCATTGTTATTTACGTTAATACAAAAACAGCACATACAAATATTTTCGTACCGCGTGCGTCAAAAAGGAGATAATTACGGTTTATAAATAGCGACATAGTTTTTACTGAGACAGGTATGTTACTATGCTGGTAACTTATAAAATAGTCTTACAATTTTGTTATCAGAGAGCCCATATCCTTGTTAAACTATGATAATTACTATGCCACGACGGTCTGTTAAACAAATTGTGCTATTTGATTAGCTTAGTTAAGTTAAATTGGACTAAAGTGGATTAAATTAAGGTAATGAAAGCAGATTTAACTAACATACCTATAGGTGAGTATGAACACAAAACTGGTAATGTTTTTGTAGGTGCGCAATCTAAATACCTGAATGAATCATTATAAGATGGGAGGAAAACCAACAGGTAACTAAAATATTGGTTGGCTACAGAACAAATATCTGACGTCACGTCTACTGAAGTTTATTTTCAGTTTAAAATAACCGTGTAGGTTACACTACAGTGGCTACAGTCATATGCATGTGTTGTTGCTGATAATCCGGCGTTAGGACGTCTGACTTTCATAAACATCAGATCTTTACTTTCAAAATATGTTTTGGTAAAATCGAAGGACGATCCCTAACGATTAGCAATGCAAGTAAAACTAGTTTGGCGAGTCAGTGACCGCGTGCGTGCAGTTCGCGGACGCCTGCTCCCCTCTTCCCCGGCAAGGTCAAGGCACCCCTCTTCGTCCCGTCTCAAGCTTGATTCCTCGAATACTACCCATTCAAAAGATTCAGCACTGATCAATATTGTCAAAATTATAAATTGTAGAATTTACGATTTCAATCTTTACATACCATTTACTATTTAATATCATTACCATACTTTAGATAACGTAAACAACGCCTATTTAGTACTTATTTTATAAGTATACAGTATATACAGTAATCGATAACATACCCAACTTAGTACAAATTGCGATATTAATTTATCTAATTGGTACAAAAATACCTATGACGCAAAATACTAACGACCCTAAGTACACATTTGATGAAACAAGGAAGGATTCATAATTAAATATTGAATAAATCAAGCCCTGTCGTTACGAGACAATTGTTAATTGAGAAGAATAATATGACTGATTAATACATTAAATAGAGCAAGGAACTAGATCGCGAGAAAATTCACAAGCTTGTGTGAATGTGTGAGGCATGTCGGCGATGTCACGCAAGGAACTGCTAATAAACATCATTATCGCCTGGTGACGCAAGGACTGAAAAGGTCATCTTAATTTCACGCAAACACGCTAGTCCTACTCGGAAGTAGGTACTACAAATTGGCAAAACGTTTGCATAATAGTTCCGAGAATTTTATTTGACCTTAACAACAGAAACATTGTTCTGAATCATTGTAGGAATTTAACTGTCGACGATTAAAGCCAACTTTAAAGACGAACTTCTACATTGCGTGGATTAATTCGGTTTAGATCCTTCTTAAAAGGCATGTAACATGCCTTTGTCACGAATAATAAATGGATCTGGGATTGACTAGTATTAATGAATGTCTGGGTGACCGAATTAAAGGGTCTGGGCTACGGTCAGTCCGATATAATGGTCGACATTGACCGGTATCTTGCAAGGATTAGACCCCTGATTGACAAATGAATGTGAGGAGTTCGGATAGCAATTTTCAAGTAGGCAAGGTATAAAAAATATGTTTAAGACTATGCAGTATAAACAAAACTAATATGTACAATTGTACAGAGTATATGGCAACCTGGCGTTACAAAAACCCAGACTCCATTTTCTAAATCAACTCGATGCATTGCGGGCTGTATGGTATAGAAATACTGTGTGTCATGCATGGTCGATTCTTTATTCAGTCTTTTATTCGAACGAGTCACGGCAGGTGAATACGTCACTGTACGTAATATAATTTGTTCCATATTGAAATACCGTGTGAACAAAATGTAACAACCGGCAAATGGTCCAGCGAAAATGCAATATCTTTGCGTGATGTAACGTAACCATTATACAAGTCTGCTTCAGATTGGTGCATGCATTACTCAAACTTAATTAATAGCGATTCCATCCAATAGGTACATCATTTGTCTAAAAAAAATTAAAACATAATAAAATAGAAGAATAAAATAATTGGATTGTTTACATATGAGAGCAGTTCAGAAATGTCTTCAATATTAAATACAATCTCGAATATCGAATCAAATCTTTTGGTGGTTTGGTTGTTTGATGACAGAAAACTGACAATAAATATCTCACTATTGGTAGTTAGTTATCATTTCTTTTTAAATTTGAGGAATCATTATACATACAATAATAATTTATATCGGTTATGTGCTCTAATGATTTACAGAAGAGCACAAGTTTAATTTATTGTAAGGGCTGACGCCCAAGATTTATATTGTGAGTCAACTAAATGACCGTTGAGGAAATACCATCATGCAAAGGTAAAGACACTGGAGCACTAGAGCCAAACCGTTGCTTGAACACAAAAGACACATTTGCATTAAGTGACGACGCGTATGAATGCCAATAATGGCCGATCACGATGTCAATACAGATGTGATTCGCTGAATAATACTAGGTTAGACAAACACTGTTGCAGACTGAATATTAAAAAGTAAAAACACTAAAACTTGTCTTTCTATTTTTTCTTCAAATAGTGGTTACTTTCCTTATATATACCACAATTTCCTTATGGGGGAGACTACTTCCCTTAATATCAGATTAATTGCAACTAGCAATTCTGTTGTTGTATTGTTGTTGTCAATCTTATCTAACCATGTTGAATAATAAATAATTATGTAGATATTAAATAACATTAGAACCAAGAGAAAATTGCTCGATAACTTTTTCAATTTAAACCACAAAGGGAAGTTAAAAGCTAATTTACACAGGCGTGGAGCGGTCAGGTCGTAAAACGTAGTAGGAACGAGGGGTATTCGATACAAGCGCCATATGTCCATTGTTCTCAGGCTACACATGCGAACTAGTAGGTCGTACAAACATTGTTATAGGCAAACAAACTGGAATCGTTTGGTTAGTGATGTCACATTGATAAACGCTCCACAGGAACGTCGGTTATTTGATATTAGTTTTTCAAATATGGATAACAGATTTTTTTTATGTAAGTACGTTGATCTTGATAGATATTATAACTGTTGGTTCCACACGAGAATATTAGCATGCAACAGCGAAGGTTAATAAAACATCAATGTTAGTAGAAGATCTTCCGCCTTTGCCTTATTCCTTCTACGCCAAGGTTTTTCAATTTTGAATAGTTGCAAAAATATGTGAAAAGTCATCCTTAGACTCGTTATCAGAAGTTTCCAGCATCTAAGTTCTAGTTACTCTAAAACAATCTAAAAGCGAATTAACTCAGCATTTTTGTTCATCCCTTTGTAAATAATTGTGTAAAACTTAAGACAAAGTGTAGTAACAACGAATTTGACCTTTTTAAACTTTTTATGGTGTAGACATTGTGTTAAGCAGATAAAAACCGGTACCGGTAATTCAGTACAAATTGTAGGTATGCAGTATTGTTACTATATCCAGAGAATTTAACACCGCAGTAAACAGGCAATACAAACAATACACTTATGCTCTACTATAAACACACTGAGCTTATTTCAATGTAGCAAAAGAAAAACTAAAGCTAATAAAAGCCTTGTAAAGCCTAAGATTCCATGCAATCTTCTGCGTGTTTTTATCTCATCTTGTATTTGATGTAGTTATTATGTGTAATCACTTTGAGGAAAAATAGAGGCATTTCGAAAAATCTGATCATAATGAATTGTTTTAGTTATACTTAGTTTAAAGTTAGACATTGCATACTTGTGCAACATTTGTAATCATTTATGACTCATTCTATTGTTTTGTTTAGGCAAGTTTTCCGGTAAGTACATAACTATTATAGTCATTCATAGATAAGAAGTCATGAATCATGAGAAATTTGACAAAATACTTCCATGTTGCTGCTCTGCTTTGTAGAAAATATTTATCGGTATCGAACGATAGCACCCGTGCTATCGATACAAGTATAAAAACAACTTTGTTGTTCTGCACATAAATAATATCTATATAACTGGCACAACATAATAAAATGAAAGCAAGTATGGATATAACATTATACCATATTAATTTGATACCATATTAGGTATTGCATCCCTCCTATGAGAGTCAAATATTGTTTAGTCATCATTTGACACGCAGACGCAAAGACCGTGATCGATCCAGCGCATTTGGATACCAGCCAAATGTGGTCTCCAGCGCAACGTGTCACCAAGCGATGAATTTTTACGGAAATCTATTATTTTAAAATACAGACCAGTCTAGTGACGGTTGTAAGGTCCCATGCGGAGCGAGTCTTGCCCCGTGGGTGCGAACCATCCTTTCGCCTCCCCAGTGAACCGTAGTTTGAGGGCACAGCAGTTTCCTCGCGCTTACGTCGCCCACCACCACGTCTCAAAGAAGAGAACCAGTTGGAAACTGATCCACGGCGCTCCGGTTCGGCCGATCCCGGCCCGGCTTTGATGAACATTACTTCACAAGTTAGTGCTAACGCACCAAGCACATTACACTTTCACACACTGTGGATCTTGACCACACGAACACCAATATTAGGAAGCTAGCAGGCACAGGATACCTATTAAGCCCACAACACATTTTAAAAAAAATTGCGGAATTTTAAACAAGCAAACAAAGTGGAAAAGTGGATGACTGCGCGTCGCCGGACGTACTTATGTATCGATTCGAACATTCAAGTACTTGCCAAAAATGAAGTGAAGCTACACAACAAAGAAGTATGTTTGCGAAGTGCACAGTAAGCGGCAACGATGACACACCTGATCATAGTCGTCGTCGTAGGTGCGGGTTGCGCGGGCGCATCGTACCAGCAGTGGCCACCACAGCGCGCCGCACAGCAGGCGAACATGCAAACACATCGCGCGCCATACACTTCTCCTCTAAAGAACGCACTAGACTGAAGATAGTCGCGGGCGCCACCGGTCTTTGGCACCGTGACAATTACATGTACCTACATACATAGATATGGCTTCGCTTTATCTTTCTGCACGTTTGTGACAAGGCCAACGTCATAAACAAATTATGCTTCTAAAACGTCACTTTTCTAAATAAGTAAAAACATTGCGCCTTGTACGCGCCGTTATTAACTAGTTACATTCTACCCTCTAATTTTAAAGTGAATGCGAAGAAAGAACGTGTTTTCTTTACAATCAATTTCTAACAAAGATCTAAGTCCAAAACGTTTAGATAAATATACCGAGATATAAGTAAAATGGACACCAATATCGTTGTTGCGATATTGTGGATGGACAGGCAGTTCTGTTATCAAAGCTTGCAACCACAGTGCGGAAGCGGCAAAGGAAATATGATAAATCCATCGCGAACAATGTCCAGTTCAAATAAATGAATAGTTTCTCGCCTCGACAAAAGCTTTTACTCCAAAACTTTCAATCTTTGTTTATAGTTGGACAAAGATGGATATGGATTTACCCAATGCTGCTTTTATAGCACATTATTTATAATCTATTATTAACTTAACCGTTGTTTTTATCGGTAGTTAAGTTCCATATTAATAAGGTTAAACGAAGAGTTCAACATAACAGTGCGTTCAATCTGCATAATGACACGAGGTGGATTAATCTATGACCTACGCTCTTCACTGCTAACTACAGATAACTTTATTACAAGGTATCTACTTTAAGATACAGACTTATGAGATGAAAATATCAAACCAAAGTTATTGAAATGACCGTCGTTGCTCGGTTTCAAGTACAAAATGGAGTGCAGAATAATTGTCTGACGCGTGTTTTCCTCATAACAATATTATTCAATTTATAAATTCCCATAAAATATCATGTTTTTTTTACTTTGTAATTTTGATTAGATGCTTTGATGTCATCATAACATGAGTTATTTGCTATGCGAAGATAAATATTAATGAAGGTTAACCAGTTAAAGAATTGAACAGTAAACAACGTAGGACACTCTTTGGCAAATAATTAACTCATTTTAATAAACAGGCTTAATTATTTTACTATTTACAATATCAAGAAAAAGAGCTCTTCTTAAACCACAATGACATAAATCACGGTATATAATAACAAATCTCCCGGTGTCCGACGACGTAGTCAACGCAATTTCCACTTATCCGCCTTATCACTATCAACTTACGGGTGATATCACTATTCAAACACGGTGTTATGAATAAAATTTTCACAGATTTTAGTTATAACTCACGATTTTTTATAACGGAAGTATTATTTTTGCACAACACTAGGAGTCCAAAGTGATAGTGACAATATATAAATAAGAATTCGACAGAGGGCGACACGTCACGCCCGCGTCGCGGCCCGGCTCGCACTGTCTTACTACCAGGCTGTGTAGTAAGCCCAACCCAAGCATTGACGGCTTACGTCAGACGAGTCCGCATTGAATGAAATGGTTGGTTAGGGAACGGACGGGGTGCTCTCAAAGCCATGTGGGGGTTTAAAACGCCGATTTATTAAATCCTCTATTTACAAGGATATTCGACATTTTCTTTATTGACATTTTTATCAACTGCTTGGTGAAAAATAGTAATTGTTTGCATATTTTACTTTTTGGACGTTTAGTTGAAATGTGTGACTTTAACTGATCAAAGAACAATTTGTAATACAATTTATTTATGTATATATAATCGTAATTTGTAAACGAATCATGGAAGTGATTGTGATAAAATGTTGTGATAAAAACTGATATTATTTCGCAATTTGATTACAAAATAAATACCATAACATTCGTAACTTCATATTTTTAATTCATATTATTTAGTTTCACTGACGAAAGCAAAATTTTCCCGCCTGCAAATTAATCGGATACCAAACCAATAATTAAACAAGAACTGGTTTAGGCGCAAAAAGTATTTTTTGTCATAACAGATAAAGAATGGACGCTATTCTGATATTTAGATGTGCAGAAGAAAAATTAGAATTTTTTTGACCTAAATAACAGCCGACGATTTAATAATCGTCGGATAATCGGAAATCGGCGGCTTGGGGATTAAAGTTGGTTTTCGTTGGTTAGTCGTAATTTAAATTTAGAGGGAAACCCGGGTCCTAATGAAGATCATAGACAAGTCAATGTTATACATATAGGCATGGTCATGGCACATAAACATGCTCACTTAGTAGGACCCTGGAGCACTGCCGTGTCCCCAGTCCCCAGATCATACGAGTTCTTATTATGAATAATCTACAAAAGTAATAAAAAATTACGACGTACTTAATTTTTTAATTAGAGTGTAAATATTGTTTTTAAAATGTCTGGCAACATTTTAGGGATATTGATTATTTATTTTGATTTTAATGTTTCTATGTTGATGTACCTAATTGATTAAATTGTAATTAATTGAAATACATACACATACACATGTGTATTTATTTTTATTATGTACCTATATCTAGTTTTCCAATGAACACATTTCATTTTAGAAGACACTTTATGTCAACCTCTCCTCTTGTTAGACAAAGTAAAGCTAAGTTTGAGTTAGCGAAACAGGGCCTTAAATGACATACATAACATCGCGCCTTTTATCCCGAAAGGGTAGGCAGACGTGCACATTACGGCATTTAATGCCACTGTACAATGTAACACCCACTTTTCACTATTTATGTTATGAGTCCCATGTAATAGGGGGTGAGCCTATTGCCAAATACAAGGCACAGTTCCAGACTCCGTGCTACCACTGAGAAAAACCCAGTAATACTTTGCCCGACCCGGGAATCGAACCCGAGACCCCTTGCCCGGCAGTCGCACTTGCGACCACTCGGCCAACAAGGCAGTCCTTAAATTAATTGATGGATAATTTAAAAAATAAAAAATTATTTAAAATGTACAGTAAATATACATTGGTGCAATAGTACAATAATGGTACAATTTCTGTACAGTGGTGTTATTTAAAATTTGGTGTATTTTCCATATGACATGCCACAACGAAATATGTGTCAGATATGGTAGCAGCTTAATTCAACATCTTTATGATGTTAATCCTGATATTTTCAGGCATAAACAAGTAAATAAACTAGGTTTAGATTGTCATATTAAATTGACATGCTGTTTGTATTGAGTTGTATTTAATTCTCATTGGAATAATTACCCCTATTGAAATTAAAAAATATTTTCAATAATGTAGTGAGAATTTATGATTTACCATATCACATATATTGTTACTTAGTTTATAAATGTAATTTTAGTAATTGGATGATTCCTAAAATTTTTACTATTGGATAAGAAGAGGCTATGATGGATCAGATGCCTTTTTTTTTGAGGGGTAAATCATCCAATGACTTCTCCCGCCCGAGTGAGGTGGGAGGAAGTGTCAGACTCTTACTGACTAAAACCCACCCTGTTCGTACTCCTGCACTTCGGGCTGGAGCCCCTGCAACCCATTAGTCTTCTGCGGCTATGGATCAGATGCCTGGATCTGGATTTGGCGATTGCAGTTGGTCACTACATTTGTAGAGAGAAAAGCAAACCGTTTTCCGGAAACTGGTTGTAATATGCGGCCAAACCCAAGTCCTATTGCATTAGGTAATAAATAAATAAAATCGTAGTCACTGTTTGCTATGCTTATGCAAACTGAATGGTCCCATGAATGTTCATTTTTGATAGGTAAAAAATATTTGGCTAACCCAAAATTAAGGTATGTTCACAATGTAACTTCCAATAGTATTTCATGAAAGGTTTCAACAGAATTAAATAAATGTACAGAAAACCTTTTTGAAGGCATGTTTACTAGAAAACAAAAAGCTTTATCAACTGTAAATAGATGATTTCAATAAAATACCTTTATTTCCAAATAAAAACACTTTGTACAAGGATATAAAGTTTTGTGATGATTTCATTGCAAGCATTTCAGATAAGATTATGAAAGTGTTTTGATTAGAATATTGTGATATCCACTATAAAAATAATTATGTTTTAAACATTGCATAGTACCTTATATTCACACACAACAGGTTTATGTAGTAGCTGTCACGATGAGAGCATCAGACGCAAAGTGAAGTAAACAGGTATAAAAACATCACATACGTAACACTGTTTTGGACAAAACTAGAAATACAATTTCATGTATTACCGAAAATATAATGTTGTTTTCTGCCTGCCTACTAGTATCAACTATTAATCAGTTATTTACCCGTAACTACGTGCTGCGTGATTTCTTCCAGTCCATTGCTTACTCATCGTCAACTAGACTGTAATTATTATCAGATTGTCAGGAGAGTGAAGCCAAGCAATTCGATGTAATTCACTCACCTGAATTTCCAACAGCAATTCTGTTTTCCGACGCCGTATATCTATTAAAGTCTTTTGCTGCTCAGGTGTCAACTCTGAAAAGAACGGTACAGTAACCTTATATATCCAGCAGTAATAAAAACCTAGCCATTGAGGTCATGTTATAATTGGAAAACAACTTGTTCTACGTCTACAATAGAAGTAATGATACGAATTACCGGCATGAGTGAATGGATCACCATGATTACTTGCAGCATTGTTTCCTCCAAGGGACAAATTTTCAAATTCACTTATCATTTCTCAAAATATTTAAAAAACTGTAAACAAAAGTTTACATCGTTGTGAACAGAGTAGTCGCCATATTTATTTACTACACTACAGCGCCACAGTGTGATTATTCGCGTAAACTTACGCCACGCCAATCTTTCAAACTGACAGCCCCTTGTCAACTGTCGTCTTTGTTCGTTGTCTATGGTATTGGTGTGGTATATATCCTAAATTCGTTTTACGTACGTAACAAAATAATTGGGTTATGTAACTATTTAGAATATAAATTTTGGCTATATTTAATTAAATACTGATTAATTTAGGTTAATAAATTAATGATAACAGAAGTAATACCCTGCCATTATTTATTTTATATGTTCGATCTAAAATAATGGACTACTTAAAAAGAACAAGTTTCACTTTTGCGTGAAACGAAACGTTTTCAAATTACAATTGTTTTATTTAATGGATCGAGAAAGCTTTTATTAAAATAAAATAATATCAATCCACATAAAATAAACTTTAAATTAAATGTTTAAATAAAATACCTAATATTTTAATTCAATGGGCCTGATTTTTCTTTTATAACAGACTATAGCATACAACTGTCAAAAGAATATAAAATTTGTGAAACGGGTCCCTATTGGTTGAAATTATGACAAGTATAGTTTAGTAACCAATGAATAGGGGGATATTGTGAAATCATATTGTGAGTGGTGAGACAAAATATGCGTTTACAGCTTTTACGATCTCAAAGTCAGCTGCGCTGTGCTTGGAGTTGCGTTGTTGCGTATTTTACGGAGAACACGCCCCCATCTAGCTTTAATTCAATCTTCATCTTGCATTTATTTCCGAGGAGTCCGACATTTCAGTGCTAAGCAACATCTTTCGTGAACGTTTACTTTATTGCCGTCAAGTTTGTTAGAATTCGTGTTTCAGTGCAATAGAATGCTTATATTTTAATTCTGTGGCGTCTAAAGTAGAATTTTCCTCGCCGGTATATTTCACAAGCCAAATAATGAATGACAATGGTTGTATACACCTAAACAATTTTAAGGCTGCGAAGGGTACTAATCCTTACAAAATCGTGCATGCATTTTTTGTGGCATGCACATCATTCGAAGCAAGGAGATACAAGGTAAGTTTTCACGTAACACAGTTGGAAAGAAACCTACATAGTGGTTTTATGACCTTTTTGCGCGTCGCAAATTATTGAACATTGATTTTATCTATCAAGTAGTTTAAACTATGGAGATGTGAATTACTTTTATGTTTTGATTTGTGGTCATAGATTTATTAGTCTTGCGACTGATTTCGTGATCAGCTGATTGGTGATCTTTGACCTCATAACAGCTGTTTTGTAGGATTGCTTTGTGGCCGACGCGTGATTGAATGATTGCTCTGATTCGCAGTTATTTATTAAATATGCAATTACTCACACTCTTCAAGTCATGTACATTGTTTAATACAAGCTTTTGTTTCAGCATTGTGTTAATGATTGGTGTTATACTTAACTTTGTCAATTATAAACACAAACAAAGTTTAACTTTTTGCAATAATTTGCTATAGTTTAAATAAACAATTTCATTTAATATTCGGGTATCTAAAGACAAGCAAAATAATATATCATTTATTTGTTTTTGTACTAGTAGACTACAAAAATAAATAATTATTTTAAATTGTGTTGCATGTTCTTTTTTCATGTGCTTATCATGGTATTTTATTTACAGTTGTATAGTAGGTATTTACCAGCTACCTATATAGCATGGTATTTATGACACTACTTAAATGTAATGTAATGACTAACTACAATGTAAAACAGGTGTTTGTTGAAACCTAAAGATGTAATTAACAATCATTTATTCTATTAGTTACTAGAAGGTCACCCTACAATGAATACTTAGGAGATTATTTTCTAATGTAACTAGAGGACACAACTTGATTGACTTCTTTTGTTACCACATACATGTGTTTCTTTTTATTTTATGAATTGACACTAATTTGTATTGCTATTTTTCTGTTTAGACTTAAAAGATAAACATTTTTGATTTGACATAAATAGCACAAAACAAGGTGCTCTACCTAATAGTTAGGTTATGTTAAAAACCAGTACATAAAACCAATACTATAATATCAAAACAAACATAGATTTGTAAACACTGTATTTTATGCGAAAACACCCACCACAATACCTACATAATTGTATTTCAGGCAACATCATGCCTGTGCTTCACCTGTGGCATGCCAGGACCACGCATGCATTCCTGCCTGCATTGCATCTATTTCGCCTGCTACGCTGGCCACATTCAAGACCATTCAAAAACAAAAAAACACTTCCTGTATGTGGACCTTAGCTACGGAAACATCTACTGCGCTCAGTGCCAAGATTACATATATGACCGAGAACTGACTGAAATTGGTGTCACTCACAAGTTGAAGGAAGCTAAGTATGTTCTTTTGTTTCTATTGCTTTTTTTATATATTGTTGTAATGTCCTTGAAACTTGATGAGCTAAACTTACAGCATTGAATTTACATTTCTTTTTCAACTGATTAATTATTATCTTATTTTCACACCAGATCTTTGGGCATTAGCGTGCCGTTCATGCCATGGCTGCCAAACCCTAACGAGGCCATGGCCCTCCGGCGTCTGCGTAAGCGGAGACTAATCAGCCCTCATACTACAATCGGTTTGCGAGGCCTTCAGAATCTGGGCTCTACTTGCTTTATGAACTGTATAGTCCAGGTCAGTATGCAGCAGTACTTTTATGAATTTGCAAGTCAAATCAATAATAATAGGGTCTATGAGTTTTTTGGAATTGAATTGTGTAGTGTTCAGTATTTGTAATAATAAATAAATAAATAAATCATTATATTACCACAGTTTATTAAGAGCATAACTAACTAAAAGTGCATTAAACTGTCAAACACCAAGCGGTCACCGGTGACCGTAACCTATTGTTCTATAATTGTGTCTATAATGATGGTACTCAACGAGTTAAACTGTCAAACACCAAGCGGTCACCGGTGACCGCAGCCTATTGTTCTATAATTGTGTCTATAATGACGGTACTTGACGAGTTAAACGACTTTATTTTCTGCATTATGTCAATGACGAATAAAAGATATGATCAATTTGAATAATGTTAAATAGGCACATAACAGCTCTTTGTTTAAAACTTTACATAGATCGTAAATAATATATTTAAGGTTAAACATTTATATATCTTTCACTTGATAAAAATATTTGTTGTTTCTCTATATATTTATAATTGCAAGGCACGAATCATAAGAGTACAGTTGCCCCTCGCTATTATACATAATTATACTATGCGTGGTTCCCCTGACATGATCGAGGATTAACATTTCCTGTACAATCATGACCTGAAGCATCACATATGCAAAGTATTCAGAAGTCGCATGTTTCTTAAGTAACATCTCTTTTCCTCATTAGTTTAATTATGGTTCAATTAAAATCCAATGACCTTTGTGTAGGCAATCTTTATCGCCATGTTTGACTCAATCAATTAGCACTTCATATTTAAAGTCAGTGAAGCATGAAGCATGATTACTGATTGTTTGTTTTTAATTAACACCATAACTTAGCTTAGACTCCATAAAGGTTGTGCAAGTATGACTTTTTGTTTTAGCTTTTAGATAAAGATAAAGTTTGGATAGCATTTGGATTTGGATAGATAAAGGCTTAATACAAATTCAATTAAGATAATTTTAATATTATAATGCTTTCTTCATTCTTTCATTGTAATAATCATGCTTTTTCATTATCAAGTGATGTAATCATTTAATACATAATTTCGATAAATTATTTAAGTTTGGTTTATTGTAATTACTGATGAATAATAATAGTAATTGTTTATTAATTAGTAGGTATGGCTGTCTTCTATGTATATACCTACCTATTTATAACATTTATAACAAAGAAACAGGAAAACTAAAGGCTAACTGTGTAGTTTCATCTTACAGTGGTGTAGTCCCTAAGATTTTATGTACAACATTAACAAAAAATGTTTATTGACAAAAAGCTTCTCATTACATATTTATATGGCTCTGGACCCCACACTAGGATTCCCTGTGTCGTGAGGCCCAATCTCTTTCACTCAGCAAATACATTGTACAACAAGGATTAGTAAATGGCCCGTTTGTGAAAGAAAATCTCGCTGGTCGTCGTCGAACCTAAATTAACCGACCGCAAGGTCATACGTCACCTTTGTCCTATACACAACACATTAAGAATAGACTTACGCCCTATCTATTGCTTTGTTCAACGGACCGTTCCATCAATCTCAATCGATTTGATGCGGAGTGTTTTCTAACTCTTTATATAAAATATTTTAGGTACATTTTAAAATTATTTATTACAAATTTTCAGACTTTGATCCACACACCCCTGTTACGTGACTATTTTCTTGGAGAAAAGCATAAATGTAAAGCACAAGGTTCGGGCAAGTGCCTCGTTTGTGAGGTTTCCAAACTCTTTCAGGTAAGTTTGTCAAAATATTTATATAAACGTGCTCGTTTTGCGGGAAATACTTGAATGTTATTGTGTAGCCACCCCTTTCTGGGAACTTTCCACGTGTTACCCAACTGCATGTTTAAGTATTTATAGCCAGCCTTCCTGAGAAATCAATACTGAGTTAAACCTTGAATGATACTAGTGTGCACTACAATATTTTTTGTTTATTTTTTTATAGGAGTTCTACTCCGGTGCAAAGACACCCCTCACTTTGCATCGCCTCTTGCATCTGATATGGACGCATGCACGTCATCTAGCCGGGTATGAACAGCAAGATGCTCATGAGTTTTTCATAGCAACCCTCGACGTTCTGCATAGGTAGGTCCTGCTTAGTGTAATATAAAACTGTTTGAAATAAGCAGATATTAGAATAAAATATTAATATTATTATTTTATTTTCAGACACTGCATGAATGGCGTAGATGAAAACGGCGAGAAGAAAGAAAACGGTCGCTGCAACTGTATCATCGACCAAATATTTACGGGTGGTCTCCAGAGTGACGTAGTGTGCACTTCTTGCCACGGTGTATCTACCACTATCGATCCGTTCTGGGATATCAGTCTCGACGTGGCTGGCCCGGGCTCGCTTGCAGCCTGTTTGGAACGTTTCACACGAGCCGAGCATCTCGGATCTGGAGCTAAGATCAAGTGCTCAAACTGCCGTGCTTACCGCGAGTCCACCAAACAATTGACCCTGGAAACATTACCCATAGTAGCAAGTTTCCACTTGAAGCGGTTTGAGCACTCTTCACAAATTGATAGGAAGATCAATGCTTTCGTATCATTCCCAGCTGAGCTGGATATGACCCCCTTCATGTCGTCTCATCGACGTGCAGTAGATGTGGGCGCGGACAACAACAACGCTCCCGAGGGAGTGTGCGAGGACAACCGGTACTCCCTGTTCGCCGTAGTGAACCACGTGGGGTCGTTGGACGCCGGCCACTACACTGCTTACGTGCGCCAGATGAAGGGAAGCTGGTTCAAGTGCGATGACCACATGATCACTCGCGCCTCGTTGCGCGAAGTTTTGGATAGCGAAGGGTAAGCTAAGGGTGTTCCCGTAGTAAACAATTTTACTGTTTAGTCAATGATATGAATATAATTTTATTAATGGATGAAATTCTTTTTCCAGGTACTTGCTTTTCTATCACAAGACTGTTCTGGAGTATGACTGTGAAAATTCTTAGGCGAATCACAATAATATTTAAAAAATATTCAGTCATTACCTTGTATCGGATGCTCTTACATTTTCCTATATCTATGTATTATGTATACAAAAAGGAAAAGGTTTTGTTTCAAAACAAAATAAAATATAAGTCATCTCCCCTCGTGATATTAGTGTAGATGTTTGAAAGATGTCTCAATGATCATCATGTTCGATGTTTTCTTCGGAATCATTCACGAATTTGTTAGTTTTAAGCTTTAAGTATATAATGTAAACATGTAAACTGTCAGTAGGAAATAATTGCAAAATTGTTAAATATATTATCATCTACTATCGCTATACATAACATGATAACACTTTGGAAGACTTCTAGACTTAAATGTTATATACGTGTGCTTTATTGAGCTGCAATCATTGGTTTGTATCTTCCTAAATTTTCTAAGTTTGACTTCAGTCTCTATTTTTGAAGTTAAACGAATATTTTCAATGCCAATTTTATTTCACCTGATTATGAAATATTATTGTAATAAGTGTTAGCATTTATCAATTAAGATCTATTTAGTACTGGTCGTCACAAACGAAAAATCATTTAGGCGCTTATCCAGTGAATTATTATTAAAAAATATATCTTATCAATTATAAGAAAAATAATACATATTACTATGATTATGAAGTATAATTTCAAACGCTGTTGCGTGTCATTCCTAGTAAAAGATAATTTTGTGTTTGTGTTTGTATGGAATCATTTAGAATATGCTGATAGTGTGCGGAACAAACATTTCAATCTACCTCGCTGTTTATCTCATATTTGCATTTCACTTGAGTCGTTAAGAAATGTTTGGAAGTAGAAATTCAAATGTGTTAACATTGCTTGTGTGTTATAAGGCTAATATACATGAGCGTAACGGTTGGAAACATGGCTAAGTAATGAACACAGTAACAATACCACCGAACTATCTCCCCCACTACGGGTCTTATAAACAAAAAGTAGGATGACGCATCTACCCTATTTTATAACGCGAATGTTATTATTTATAAAGCTTTATGTTAAACAATTTTCAACACATGTAGCATGTGTGCGGAGTGTTTTATTTTTTTGTTATTTTTCGCTCATGTGTAAGTAGCATAGGTGGATTTAAGTAGTTCGTAACCTATGACTGGACTGACATTAGCTTAATGTGATATTTAATATTTATGACTTGTATTAAACGTAGTTAGTTGTACGGATTTACATTTCTGAAAGTATCTAGGTATAATTTGTTTGATTTAATCTAATGCTTGAAAGTATGTACTGGCACATAATGAAACATAATTATGTTATTGTAGTTTACACGTAGCGCTGAACAATAGCTTACATTCCTTTAGCTTATATCCCACAGAAATATAGACGAGTCCTAATTAACATGAGAACATTATTAATTAAAATATGCATCATTTTCATCATTTGCCAGTATCTTGAAACAATTTTATTTGCATTTAATATGATTTAGTAATTTGGATCCGAGCCTAATTAATTATCTAAAATATTAGCCCATAAATTATGGTAATGATGTGATAGACACAATGTCACTACTATGTTGCAATGATTTTTATTTTTATTGATTATTTAATGCTACTCGATCAAAAATATACACGTAGGTTTAGGCGTCATAAGAATCCGCTAAACACAAAAAAATACAGGTACGCTTAAATCAAAATTATGGAACTTAATTAATTAATGTGTGTGATTGGATATTCTTGAGTGCAGATATTGTAGGTATCTCATCTTATTGAGCTGTTTCACATTACTTCGTCTATCATCTTCCATATGTAATTATTGAAAAATAAATAATTTATTACAATATAAAATGCTTTTTCATAGTCGATGTTTCTGTAATCAAAATAAATGTATGAACAAATAAGTAAATAAATCTTGATGTAACTCATCCAGTCTGTATACATGTATTTGATATCCCATATTGAACCAAGTCCCAGTATATAAATAATAATAATTATATAATTGGTGTTAGTGTTCAAGTTATAATCGTAACTGTAACGTATATCGCGGTATCGTACACATGTACTATGTATGATAATCTCTATTCACTGTGGAATAATAAACGAAAGTTACAAATTCACCTGCGTTTTACTATTGTTATGCATTAAACTTCTTGTCTGTTGATATACGAGATACGATAGTGTCTCGCATAGATCTGCGTTCCAACAGACAAGAGTTCAATCCAATTTTAGTAATAAATCTTATGACTCCGGTTCAAATCTTCTGGCAAGAAATAGCCTATTCACCTTGAGCCTACTCACCTCCTATTACATGGGACTTATAAATTGTGAAGTGTGTTACATTGTACAGTGGCATTAAGTGCCGTAATGTGCCCCTCTGCCCACTCTTTCGGGGATAAAAAGGCGTGATGTTATGTATGTCTTAAGTTCAGATATCAAATATTTCGATTGTGAAGCAATATTGTGTATAAAGATCAAATAAAAAGGGATTATAAATAAAATACACGATTTCGTAACAGTATTTATTACGTAAAAATATCACAAATACAACAAAAATTTTGCTTTTAGCGACATCTAAAGGTCTATACATATTTTATTCAATCAATAAATAATAATAATGAATACTTCACCAATCGTTTGAAACTACACAAATTATATCAAATACACTTTATGACAGTTATCTTAGAGTCTAAAACTAGCTAACTAGTTAGTTACAAATGATTTTGCAGCCTACACAATATTGTATTCAACGAACTAATTGTATTCGACTTTTTGATAAATTACACTATCACATACTTCAGACTAAACATTGCCAATTGTTTTTTCGAGACGTTATATCTTAGTGTTCAACAATTTAGAAAATATTATAATCGACAGATTCTAAAACGCTACAAATACTACATCAAGTTACATAGCAACAGTACAAAGATATATAATAGACAATTAGACATTCGAATACTGAAACTACAAAATTTTAAGTCGCATGCACCATTTAAATGGCGACAGAAATACTTAAAACAACGTCTGGTGTGTTGTGGACATAAGACTACTTACTGGTATAGTGTTAGTAACGAGATATAATTGTACTTATGTATATGTTGAATGTATGAGTTGAGATTACTAAACACCTAGAGATTGTCATGAGATTTCGAACGTGTTCTAACAAACAACAACGATGACAAATGCCTCGAATGTTGTTACGATGACTAGGTTTATTAAGCATCAGATTGTAATTTTAGAATGACTTATGACTTGGTAAGTAGTAAATAGAGTAGAACTAAAATCATTCCATTGTATTATCACTTTCCGATTTAAAGCTTTCCATAGAATTTTGTTTTCATAATATACCCATTCTATTAGGTGGTCTCAGTTACTGGATGAAACATGCTCGGGCCCCGTAGTAAATTCTAATGAGTGACTTTCTATCTAGAAGATGTAGGTGGGTAGGGTAAGTTTATAATAATATGTTGTTGAGATTTTTCTCGGTCGGAGAGCCCCGAATAGTCGAGCTTAAATATTATTTTGCAAAGGAACTGACTGCATAGTTGATGAGTAGTATGGCAAATGGGTATATTATGCAAAACAAAATAATTTTCCATGTAGTTCATTTAGTGTTAAGAGATGGCGCGGCGGGCGTCTCGTCGAGTAAGTTCTCGAGCTGCTTGACGTCGGTGACGGGCAGAGAGCACGCGTAGCGACGACACACGTACGCCGTCGGGACGTCACCCACAGACCTGATGCGGCTCAGCACTGGAAACAACATATAATAAATATGAAAGTTTGTATGTATGTTTTAAAGTCAGGCACAAGGGCAGATTATACTATGGAATAAAACACAGGGTAATTATTATCCTAAGCATGGTTGTTGGTCGAAGCCAGCATCTATTTCATCAACTGAGCTATGCTCGACTCGGCTCGTAAACTACTACAACTAGATCTGCGTTTTAAGACCACCTAGCTTTAAAGATTACAATGTTTGACTAGGTCCTAAGGCTTTAATTCTATTTGTACAGTCAATTGTGTACTTTCATTGTGACAAAACACAAAGTCATGTAGTCAAACAATTGTAAAAGAAGAAAATGCAATCATTGCCATACATATTTTCATCTATCATTCATCCGCTTCTGATACTAGATACGACATCATCAACTCTGCGCAGTAATTTTTTTTTAAAAATTACCATATTAGTGACTCTTGTTTATTCAAGAAATGCTTGTTAACAAAAAAGCTTAAATATATTGTTAGTGCGGTAGCAGATGAAGAGTTGAGAGAGTCAGACTCACGTATGTCGGACATACCGGCGGGGGACTCAGCGGCCGGGTCGGCGACGGCCAGCACGCGGCCCGGCAACAGGCGCGACCGCACCACGCGGACCAACTCCAACGTGCGCGGGTCCGAGCAACCGCCTGCTATCAGCACCTGTAACAGATTACAGTGTTTATTAAAATAATTATATCTACATATGTTGTAATACAGTTGAAAATCTATTAGCAGTAATATTTAAGTATTTAGTGCATACTGCTAATAGATTTTTTACAAAACTCTAAGACTGAAAACGTATTGGACCAGTTTATATCCCATACTAGTGTGTTCAGTTTTACCAAGTGTGACATTAAACAAATCGTACAGATAGTAATTTAGCTACTTCTGCTCTAGCTGCTATTAAATTTTGAACTTTATAACAAAAGCATTAAGTTGAAAATAGAAAATATTGATAATAGTTCGACCATAGTAAACGACAAATCGCAATTTATGTTAGGCTTACGTGACTGACTGTATGATAATACTGTTAAAGACCAAATATGACATCATCAATGAATGCCAAATGTAAGTCGTTGTCGTTTCAAGACATCGACTCTAGATTGGCTAAATGCCAGATAAGTTTATCGTGGAAATGTTGTATCGAGCCGAAGCCGATTGGGAAACTATATGAACAGTGTTTTACGTTTCCTGTTTGCAATAATTCAGTGACACAATTTTCAAATGTGGTTTCAATTATACTCTTAGCACTATTGAGTCAGAAATTCAATAAACTCAATTTCAACTATGTATTTACTTTCGGTACCAAATAAACACTCATCTCTCAACCAAACTCTAAACGTGAATATTAATCAAAACCAACCAACCTGAGTAGGAGAGTCGTTATAGAACATGAGGGCAGACATCATTTCCGGCAGAGAAGTGGGGGCATCGTTGAGTCTCTTGGAGAATGCTTTGAGCAGTTTCATGGCCATCTCTCTCTCGCCATCCCCGCCCTCGGGAGCCGCGCTCTTGTCTGCGTATGCTGCTAATCGTTGCAAGTTGTGGCAGGCCACGCTGTTGCCTGAGGGTTCAGCGCCATCTTGATCTGAAAGGAAATATTGATAAGAATTAACAGCGTAACATTTTTTCATAGTAAAATAAAAGGCACAGTAAAAAAGAATATGGATACCGTGCTAATAGAAAAAAACTAACGCGACTCTTGTTGGATTTTCTAAAAGTAAAACCAAAGTTGTTAAGTTTCATGGCCTGAACCAGCATCTGCATAGTTCTGAGTTTATTCTGATGTACCTTGTAGTTACGTTTTGTGAAATAAGCTTACCCTCTTTGAGCCGTAACACCACACTGGCGTCGTCCATAGAACAGGTGTAGTAACCACCATTGACAGGGTCCCAGAACAACTCGTTCTGTTTCTGTTGCAAGTCGCGCGCCCATTTCAGCCAACGGTAGTCCAATGACGCTTCATATAAATCCAACAGACCCTTAATCAAGAAAGCATAGTCGTCCAAGAATCCCTTTATTGGTTCCTCACTGTCAACAAATAAAACTGTTCAATACGAGTATTAAATCCGAAAATGTTAATAAATATTTTATGTTTAAGATATCACGTACGTTTGAGCGATTGTTCCATCTTCGGCTCTATAGCAAGAATGTAATAAAATTTGATTCGTCTCGTCGTACAAATGTTGTCGAATGAATTCTGCCGTTTTGATTGCATCCTCCACGAATTGTTTCTCTCCTAGTCCCTGGCCAGCTTGTGCTAAACCAGAGATCATCAAACCATTCCAAGAACACAATATCTTTGTGTCTAAATGCGGACGGGGCCTCTTTTGACGTGCTTCGTACAATATCTGAACACAATCAGTTATAACTTGATCGAACTGCTCCATTGACAGTTTAAACTTCTCTGCTGTCTCTTGCTTACTGCCGTAAATAATTAATACATTCTGATTGGTAAGTTCACCATGAGGATCACTTCCAGGAGAAACATTTCCATCAGCTTCTACACTAAAGTAGTCGCAAAATACATCTAAATAAGAAAGTGAAGCATTCACTTTCTTATGTTCGAGAAGAGATTTCAGTTCCTTATACTGCCAAGTGCAAAATGCTCCTTCTTTCTTATGAGGGGCTCCTACTTCAGGATAAGAGTCAGCATCTTCAGCACTGTAATACCCACCTGACGGGTGTCGCAGATCTCTGTTTACATATTTTATGATATCTCGGACAACATCAGCGAAAAAATCATCTTTTGTCGCGAGGTACGCATCTGTGTAAGCAACCGTCAGCTGCGCCTGATCATAAAGCATTTTTTCGAAGTGAGGCACGTGCCAATCATTATCAACAGAGTATCTGGCAAAACCACTAGATATGTGGTCGTGAATGCCACCCTTTGCAATTTTAGTTAAAGTGTGCAAGCACATATCCAAGCATTTTTTACCCTCAGCATTGTTTTTGTCACGTGCATAATAATGGAACAAAAAATTGAAAATGGAAGCTTGTGGAAATTTCGGTGCTGATCCAAATCCGCCGAATTCTGGTTCATAATAATTATTGATGTACCTGCGAACACACTTTTCCCAAGTTGCCTCTCCAGGAATAGAGTTATTAGAACTTTCAGAGTCTACTAAAGATATTTTTTGCAGTGCTTGCATGATGTTGACGCTAGCTTCCATGAATTGTTCCTGATTTTCTTTCCATTTATTGGCCAATGATAGAAGAATTGTTTTGAAGCCTGGCCTTCCCCATCGGTCTTCAGGAGGGAAGTAAGTGCCGCCAGTGACGGGCCGTAAATCTGGAGTAAGGAAGACAGACATCGGCCACCCACCGCCGCCGCTCGTCGCCAGTATGAACAACATGTAGACACGATCAATATCAGGTCTTTCTTCACGATCTACTTTAATGTTAATGAAGTGCTCATTCATTACCTTTGCTACATCTTCATTTTCAAAAGATTCTTTCTCCATAACATGGCACCAGTGGCAAGTAGAATATCCTACAGATAGGAATATAAGCTTGTTTTCTTTTTTGGCTTTATCAATAGCCTCCTGGCACCATGGGTACCATTGAACAGGATTATGAGCATGTTGCAGGAGATAGGGAGATTTCTCCGAAATTAAGCGATTAGTATACTTTGGTTGTTCAGTAGGTGGCATATCCGCATTAGATGATGCCATAATGATCTTATTGTCACTGAAACTCCTTGTTAGTTGTGGGACAGCAATATTATTTGGTCCAAATGTTGACAACCTGTAAAAAAGAAAAACTTGTAAAATTCATATTCAAAGATTTCAGGTTGAGATTAGTTATTAATTTCAATCATTTACTAGTAAATGTAATCAAATACTGATACAATCATGAATGAAATCATGAATTCAAATACTTACAACTATGTAATACTCGGTTATCAATTAATTTAACAATAAACTTGATTTTTTAATTGTTCACAAAACCTTGACTGGAACAAAGCAACGAAAATATTTTTTAAGCATGTTTACTCGTTCAAACCTAATTTATGGCATTACTGCAATCTGAATGTACTCCAGTAAATGCTACAAGGATAATCCATCAATATTCAAATCTAGTAAGATATTAAGGCATTGGCTGCCAATAAAAAACTATTGAAGGCAAATCCTCCGCTAATGTCGGTCACCAGTGACTGCCATGGCGTTTAACGTGTTAAACATAGTCTTATTTGCCATAATAATTAATTTGGAATAGCCATTATTAGTGTTAAACCTGTCTTATAACCCATGTTTTCATTTACTACTTTATAGATAGGTATTTAGATCCTAACACTTTATAAATAGGTGTCATTCTTGAACAAAAACTTGCAACGGACACATAGTCCATGTATTTTCATCATTATATAAGCAAAGTTAATATTGGCAAAGAAGTTCATAAACCTTAATGAATTATTTATGAGAAATGACGAAGTTTCCTTTCTCTTACATAGTTATAAACACAACATGTAAACAAAACAAGGTCAACTAATAATTACAATATTGTTGGTTTCTGTTTCATACGTTTTTATCGTGTATAGATAAAAATAATGCAGAAGAATAGATGCAGTATAAAATAAGTCAGTTTACCTTTTTGGTAAGACTAAATCTCGGTGAGTGCACACCGGGTTTCCAACCAACGGCTCCTTCGTACTATTTTGATTCAAATTAAGACTTTTGAACCTATTATCACCCGTCGAAAGACGCCGCAACAGCAGGACAGCACGCCCAGTAGGCATAATAATATAACGTTTTACAATAAATTGCATTCACAACATGGAATTTCGGTTTATTTTTGTTTTTCTTACATAATTTTCTTTTCACTGCACTACGCTTTCCACGACGAAACCAAATATTGTGACATTTACAAAAGAATGTTGCCAGTGATATTTGGTTAAATAAAAAATATATTATTAAGCTATGCACATATTAATGACGAAAAAAAGGCTAATAAAATTCTCATTGACAAAAGCACAAAAACAATAACAACCAACATTAATATGTTATTTCAAATAGTTTCATCACTGAACTAATAAAAATAAGATTTTATTGATGAACGCCTAATATTTTATCATTGTAAGATTGTGCTAAAGATACTTGCTCTGAAAATATCATCAGGCATTATGATAAATTGTCTTTTCGATTTTTACAAGATGTGTAATTACAGTTCATAAACTGGATCATATTATTTTTTGTGTATATGATATTGTGTGTCATTAGCGTACAATTTAAATTTCTAAACCTATTTAACTTTTAAGGCACATAGAAATAAGCTGTCGTGATTTTATTTACTTCAAAACTCATATTACGAACAGATATAATGTAAATAGAGTGCCTTATTTATATCTAAACAAACAACAATTTACCACAAGTAACATTAAATAGATCGTAACTGGCAAATTAGTCATAAGAAACACACGTCCCTATTATCAAACCCATTCACGTTGTGGTACAAAGCAGCGTTTGAAAGGGTCCATATATATTTAATGGCAAGTACCCTCTTATGATTCTATGCAGCACGCATGCGCTGAAATCTGGACGCCATTCTCACTTTCACTAGCATTCAGAGTGTTTTGACATAACTAAATGTCCACCGCGTTTAGAAGTCTAATGTGTTCTTGACACGAAACATAATAATAATAAGTGGTATTTTGGAAATGGAACCCCGTGTGAATTACCCCTTATGATAGTGGTGTGAACAATCAAAAAACATAAAGGTGAGTAACCGGTTTTGGTTATGTTGATTACGGAAAAACAAACGATTTTTTGGTATAATAGGTAAACATTTGATGAATTGTATGTGTTTACTTCTTTGACAGATTTATTAAAGAACCTATGTCGTAGAGGATAGGTAGATACAAAGTTTAAGCACATATTTACAAATTATAAAATCAAATAATATTTATTTTAAATGAAGTATTGTGATTTTCATTACTGTGGAGGAAACTTAAACCGCAAAAATAAAGTATTTGGTTTAATTAATCACAGACGATTGATTTAACTTTATTTGCACATTGTAGTGAATGATTGTAATTATGAGAAATCCTTAACGAAACACGTGTTTGTGATAATAGTTCTACTTGCCAATGTTAAGCGGGGTATGGAATTGCGGGCGGTTGCTATAGCAACGTCAAGAGGGTTGTAGCCCTCTAGCCCACAGCGTTCCGTTAACGTTTCCTCCCCTCAGCTGATTGGCCATCTTGGTGCTTCGAAAATTTGATTTTAAATTGCAGTAAATAAGGTTCATAAAGCTTAAAGTTGCAAGCGGCCAGCACATAGATACGTATAAACGTACGTTTTACGTTCCAATTAAATTATAATAATATAATTAGAACGTAAATATGTCTGCCAACTTGTTTTTAATTAAGTTTACTTATTTGAGTGCTCAGATAAGTAATATATGGAGAGGTGCACGTATTACGATAATATGCGATTGCTAAAAATGTCGTAAGTAGGTACTTCAAAATCAAGTAGCCAAATCTACTGAGCAAGGGATGGCCTGATATAGGCACTGACCATTAGTGAATACTTTAGTAACTAACTTACATTATTTATTAGGTACGTTACATACTTCATTTTAGATGGGAGAGTTGGTATTACAAATAAAAAATTGTATTCAAAATATTCTTGCGAAATGGCAGGGGACTACACGCTGATTTCGTTTATTTAATTATAATTTGGGGTCGGCAAAAAGAAAAGATTTTTTGAAATCGGAATTTTCAAGGTCTTGAAATGACGTTATTCTATTGTTTTGAATTAGGTCAAGTACGGCTCTTTTTTTAAATGAATCAATGCTTATGGCGAGGGAAGAGAATTTGGCCTTCAAGGAACTGCTTTAATTATTGTATTGTATATACTGTATTTAGTGTAGTATAGGTAGGTATAGGTACATTGTACAACTCAACTCTTATGGGAATATTAACATAACTGCCGAAATGTTAACATTTATGTTGAATATATGCAGGTTGTACTGTTTTTTCATTAAATAAAGAGTAGATACCCACGGAATCGTCGGATATTGTTGGTTTGGTTTACTTAAGTTCAATAAGTAGTAAAGTTTTATTTAGAAATAACTTATAGTAGGTACGGTTTTCAGTAACTACTTCCTACATATTTATTCATTTGTTTCAGGTGCACTGAACAAGGCGAACATTTAAGAGAGAACAACGTGCCTTATAACCATCTTCCACGCTTAGAATATATTTACCTGTTGATACTGATTTATTTCTGTCCATTGAAATTTCAAGTCCAAAGTGAAGCGTCCATTCACCAAACTTAGGTCCCATTATCTGTCCAAAGAATAGCCTAATTTAGCATATTATACAATTGTTGACAACAATTAATTGCAAAGTGAAATGAAAATAGTATGATATTGGAAGAATTATTGCATTAGAAGGCAAGTGCAGTAGTGTGGATGGTGTTGCAAGCAGAATGTCTGTGTGGGTGGGAAGTGGCGCAGGCGGCGACATGCGCGCGCCGCCCGCCGCCACTATCCTCTCGACCAACACCTCCATGGAGTCCGGGATTGAGGCCGGAGTGCTGCCGACAGTCACGGGGTCCCTCGCCTCGGCTAGAGACTCCCTCGGATCCATATCCCGGGCAGCAGAACCACTCTACGACACAGATCATACGGACCTTGGCTCGGAATTGGACGAGGCGGAAATACGGCGGGAGTTGATGCACGATGTAAGTTTAGGAGCACTCGGCGTTGCTAGTTCACTTTAAAACAATAGGTTTACGTCATCGAAGCAATATTTGTTTAATTAAGTTACAGTTAATTTTGGGGTTATTGTACGCTAGATACATGTGTGAGTCCACATTGTTTTTGTTTTTAATTACACTTACGTAGAATTTGTTTCATTATGTTGGAAACCGCCTTAAACATTTCCTAATTAGTCTTAGAGAATGTGTTACTAACTGTATCTATGTTTTTTTTTCAGAAATGGCGCCTGCTGTTTGATAGAGTAAGTATATTCTCATGAATACTGGAAAAATGAACTGGTTCCAAATGTTGTAATATATTTTTCCAATCAGTTTCTGGTTTAATAAAATTGGCGCATTACTTTTGAGATTTATAATTATCATTTATTGTGACATATTTTATCAACAGCCTATAAATGCCCACTGCTGAGCAAAGCCTCTTCCCACACGGAGAAGGTTTGAGCATTAATCACCACGCTTGCTCAATGCGGGTTGGTGATTACAAACTTATAATAAGATTATATTATTATTTATATGTAGCTAAATATTTAAGTGGGTATGTACCGATTACCTAATTATTCCCAAAAACATTACATTATAAGTATAGTAAGCGCTTAAATAATACCCCAAATAAGAAAATAAGTCAATTAAAATGGCAAACATTTTTAGGATGCGTGTGATGATGAGATTGTCTTGATTGAACCTTAATAATTTACATTTTACATAGTTGACAGCGAGACAACGTTGTTGATGCCACGTGCGATATCTCTGGGACGTATTTTGCTACCTGTACCGTTGTGTTGGTAAACAAAAAGATTGCTTACTTAGTTTTACTAAAACAACTTTTTATGATGCGTTTTTATGCAGACATAGCATCATCTGTTACCGACATATTTTTCAGAACAAAGCACCCTGAAAAGTTTCCCAACTTAAACGATACCAATGATTGATATGGTGATTATTTTTTTTTATTTATGAACGGATGAGTTTGTATAAACTGGTGCTATTATTAACCATGTGAATATAAAATGACAATAATTATTTTAATAGCCCGTAAAAGTGGTGACTGTCATATAAAGGTAGGAATTAAAGCCCGCATATTTCATAAAAACTGTCGTTTAAGATTCGGAAACAAATTTCAAAGAATATCCTTTGTCTCTGACTGATTAAAATGTACAGAAGCAGGATATAAAATGTTTTATAAGTAGATAAAGTGGCGGTAGCGCGCAGATCAAACGCTGTGTCGTCACGTACCACGCATTGAGATAGTGCGATACTTGAGATGGGGCGCTTCTTATTTTTTGTGCCACTGTTTTGGGAAACACATGAAAATATAACTGAAGGCACATGTGTGAACTGAGTGACGCGTGTTATGACATTCGGGGTGCCACTGTGAAATCATAATCAAGGGCTGCAGGACGTGACCGTATCGAGTCGCGGCCAAATTAATAAACACGTCGACAGGATCAACAAAGTCACACCTCTACCTGACCTTTACCACTATTTTTTGTTCAAAGCTTCTCAGATTTTCCATCCTCAAAATTATATGCAAATACTTAATCTCCGAAGAGATTATGATTGCAGTTTTTGCTATACAGACAGGTTGAACTTACATAAATAACTTCTAGGCTGACTTTGATTTTGTTTGTTACAGTTCGACCCAGAAGGTTTTGGAGAGATCCCGTGGCCTGATTTCTTACAAACTCTTCAACATCCCGACTTTATAGCACAGGTGCCGCCCCACAAACGTGAAGTAAGTGGCCACATGAATCAGATATTGTTGGAACTTTTGAATTGAAGGAAACAGTTTCTAAAGGATTTTAAAAAAAGCTAAACAAAAACGTAAACGGCTTAGTAGCTACAGTAAATATAATTTGTGTTTAAAATACTAATTTCCATTTTAGATCCTCCTGGACAAAGCACAGAGCGCAACAAGCAACGCGATTACGTTTCAAGAGTTCGTCAATGTGGTAAGTGCTTTCTTATCTCGAGAAATAAAATCTGATCATAATTATGTCAGATACCACTCGTGGTCCTGCAGTGATGTACTCTTTTATAGAAGAGCCTTTGATCCTAATTAAAGCAATAGAATCATTCCATTTTATTCAAGTAATAAATATAGGGTTATATGCGTCAGTCGAGCACGGTGTCCTTTACCGCCGCAGTGGGTTAGGTTATGTCCCACAACTCGCTCGCCGCCGCCTCCCACAATACAAGACAACTAAATTAAGATGCAACGCCGATTACGCTCAACTCGCGCCCGTTCCAAAACTACACGAGTCACTAAAACAAAATTCGACACCAAAGGAGTTTTACCATACAAAGGGAAAAGAGAACTTAACGTAAACCTGAAAGTTACGAGATACGAACCCTCACACCGAATGGACCCACATCCTTATCGAGTCCTTACTGTCGCGTCTCGAAAGTCGATAAGGTCCAGCACGATTTATTAGGTGGACATTTATTTTTGTATGGTTAAATATATTATCTTAAATGCGTATTAACACTGAGCACCGTCGTTTATTATTTTATTTATTTTGATTAGATCTAAGCTTTTTTCGAGGAATGAAGATAAATAAGTAAATATTTGTACATATAAAAAGTTAAATGGTTGTTTAGGAGATTATACATAGATACTTATAAATAAACCAGATTAACTTTAAGCTAATTTAGATTTATTGCAACCTAGATGATCACTGGGACCGCTATTTTTTGCTAGAATCACATCCACATAATAAGTTCAGTTGTTGATATTTTTATTGTAAAGGTTTTCGCAATCTAATCGAGACCCATTTACAAATGAATTCGCAAAGATAAGCATTAATTAAACGGATCGCCCGACGATTTTGTTTATGAGCTGTTTAAAATAATTAGGTGGTTGATCTGATTAACCCTCATTTATCAAATTAATACTCGAATATGCCAAATGCGAGTATTACCTCAATTAATTTCTTGGCCAGAGGTAGGCGATATTTTTAACAATATTTGCATAAAGGAATCTTAAGAAGCACTTTAATTCGTCCTAATGTCGATCGTAAATTATACTCCCAGACCTCTTTTATTAAGTTATTTAAAAGGGATTCAGACGAATCAAAAGTTATTGGAATTAAGGTTTTTATTGTAAAAACGTAGTTCTGAAGGATTTTAGTGACTAGTAATAGTTGATAGCGTTCTGTCATTAAACTGTCAAATACCAAGCGGTCACCGGTGACCGCAACCTATTGTTCTATAATTGTGTCTGCAAAACCGGTACTCGACGAGTTAACTAGTAATTCATGATAACAAAATAAAAACAAAACGATTCATCAATTCAAGGAAATAGTCGGCTTACCTGGCTTTGGTTTGACCTGGCGTTTGACCGTCTAATAGGAATGTATGTTTATGATTACGCTAGGTCATTGCAGAATATGATTAACTATTTAAAATAGGATATCTTCATTATTCAATTAATATCTCCTTCAAAGCAGGTTCAATACAAGTTGACATAACCTTAGTTTTTAACGTACTTAAATCTAAATCAATTGAAATCGTCACAATGTTACTAATTTTTCTATGTAAAGCAGTGTCATTATAAATATTCATTATATTTCCTAAGCGAACTGTTTCAAATATCGGTAAGTTTATGATTGATTCTTGTTCGTTGTGTATGTTTATTATCATGTAAAACACATCTCTATTCTGCCTAGCAAAGCGTGTAAACGTCCGATAGAGTCATGGCCTGTATTAGTGCTGCCGCCTTTTACATTCATTTCATCGAAAAATGTTTTACTTACAATTGTGTGGAGGATCGTAAATCAAAATTAAATTCGACGTATAAACAGACAACGAGGGACAGTGTAGGGTCGTGGGCGTTCATGATGCGGCATTCTTATGCTAATCCGAGCGAACCACATTCGAACGGGGTGGGCTAAATTGTTATTTATATTGTCACCTCGCGCTTTTTTGTTCGAACCTACCAAAAGTCTCGGCCTAAATTACTGGCTGACTTCATTGCGGCCAGAGATATCGTACCCGGTGATATATGTGTCCAGCGATGCGTTTATCATACGAAACAACATCGTTCATTGATTTTTGAACTTTAAATGAACACCTTTAAATAAAATTTTTACATTATACTGAAAATCTTCTTCTTCTTCATATGTCTGCTCTTTAGTAACGTAGCCTTCATACTCAGAGTCAGAACTGAGAGTGCATGTCAGGTATTCTTTATGGTGTATTCCTTCCGGCTAGTAGCCCATTTTTCTCCAGTGTTCAAGTGTGTCATCAACTCTGGTGGCCGGATGTCTATCACATGAAAGGAAGCTATTCTTGGATTTAAAACTCTGAATAGATGGATGAGCCAAATTACATTCATAACACAAAAGCAGACTACGTTGGCTCTTTTTCTGTCAATAAAAAGCTTTTTGATAAGATGAATTATATTACTGTCGGTTTACTGTAATTGCTATTCTTTAAACAGGTTTATCAATAACTCTTTATCGGCAATTTAATCAACCCTTATAGGTTTTGTATGACTGTGACCTTGTCACAATTTCTTTAAATACATTTATATAAATAAATTTAACACTTTAATTTATCTAAATTAACTGTCTGATGGTGACTCTTAGATTGCTACTCTAAACTAACAGTGTAGAAGAAAGTAAAGAAGTAGGCTAATAAAAGAAATGACCAAGTTAAGCTAGTAATGTATTCGAATACAAACGAGTCACTATAAACGATTGGAACTGTTTTAAAAGCTTGTTACTCTTTTGTTATGAAAATGTTTTCACGTTGGCTAACCCGAGTGATTGATGTGACCGAGGTGACTGGAACAGAAGCTTTTAGGGAAATCGTATTCGCTCCCTACAGCAATTTCCTGACAGGAAATTAGTTCACTCCATTATGTTGATTTAACACCAAAATGTATTTAAGATTAATCGCTTATACAAACTTTACTTTCACCCAAATTTTGATCGTTCTATATTCTATAGTATCAATAAGAAAATATTTTAATTTCCATCGTTTTAGTATGTTCATCCTAGGATGGCAGCAGTTAAGTATTACCTGTCTTCCGTCACAAAAAACTTTTGTGAGTCGCCGCTGACCCTTAATCAATTTATGGGGCGCTAACTGGAACATGGAAAATGTATTAAAGCTCACTGTGGGAACGAGCTGTACGGCAAACATAGTTCCTAAACACTCATAATATTACATTCTAACTTTTATTTTTTTGTCCCCCAAGGAAATTATCAGTGTTATTTTGTATGACAAAAGTTTTGAAGAAATCTATTTTGCCTGAGCCATTTTAACTTTGTTCTTTCTCTATCAGACCATTACGAGTTAAATTATAATATCACTGAAAAATACTACTAAAAACAAATCAGAACTTCATGGTGCGTTTCAAATCCACATTGGGAACAAAAACAATTACTTAATAAAACACACCTCAATCAAAATTAATTGCTTTACGCATTAATCTCTTTATCATCCCTTACCTACAAAACAACGTGTCCGTTCTCCAAGGTAATGGAAGCAATCATTCCAGATAAGATCCCTCTAATGTGAGAAAAGGTAGACGTTCCGTCCGGATCGTTAATTTAATTTGAAATAATAAAAGTTATATCCATCATTTATCACTTTCGACAAATTTATTTTTAAATGCCCACTTTGACGTCCTTCTTATCTGTGACTGGCCAGTGGGTTGGGGGTAAAAAGACAAAAAGGTCTGTTATAAATAGGCGTAGGCGTGCCGCTGTCGGCAAGGCGTCAAGCCGTCATTAATTCGAGGAGGCACAGGCGCGACCGCGCTGCTGCACAGTCTACGCCAGTAACCCGCAGAACCTTTCTAGACTGACCCTGACCAGTTCACCACACATCCTCATTCCTTACTATTTCTTATTAGAATACACTTAGGTACTAATGAGCAACAACTCTGCGATAAACCGAGTTTAATATTTTTCCTGAAATCGTTAAATATAAATACGATAAAAATAAATTAAATTAGACGTGTCAAAAAAAAAGTTGTGAGTACCTAATTCGTTAGCAGGTCCTGTCACGGGCACATTCCATCGTCGAGTAAGTTTTCGTGTTCGGTCTGACTGTCCGTCCGTAACTCACACGGTATCGGTGCCATCTAAATTGAGATTTTATTGACGATTACTGTTCTAGCGACGATATCGTTGCGATCTTGGCGCCCGGCTGGACCGCTCCGCGCCTGCCGGCCGCCGCACTTTGATCCCACCCTGATGTAATGCTTTTCGAACCCTTCATTTATAATACGGACGTGTGATTTTATAAGTATTGGATTTTACATATATAAATAAGTATTTATGCCAAATAAAGGTTCTGAATGGCTATTTTTTATGTTTTGTAAGAGATAATGTTCAATTAGCTGACTTTTACCTTGACTTTACCTTGTTTTTCTAGCTTATAACAAAGCAGGCATCCGAAAACATTGGCATTTTATTGTTCGTTGGCGATTAATGTCTTACTTACTGAAATGAAAATTCTTGCTCGTTCCAATCACAGTTTGCTGACCATTCAGAAACATTTTAACGACTGTGCTCTGACATGGATCAGGACATTAATTTCTATATAACCTATTGTTTCTCATGCTTACAATGTATGGTATTCTAGTGACCACGGTCCCGGCCGTTCATGTAGCTAATCAAGCAGATAATTGGTCATGTTTGTTTTAATTTTATTTACCAAATGCTTCGACTTTTACCATTTCGTCAACAAGCTTTTCTTGTGTATATTTTTCCTCGTAACTTCTATTCACCAACGCATCTGAATAATCATTCAAAAAGTGTACTCAAGTCGGACAAAAACTCCATCCCTCTGAAGGCTAATGTAGCCGGGAGGGATAAATGATGATGGCACACGGAGCACGGAGGTCACCGTAGTGAATCGCTCGTGGGGGTTGATGGATCGTGTAATCGTAACAGTATTTTTTAAGACCACACCGAAGCAAATTTACAGTAATTTCACG